TTATTAATGTTTATACTTTCAAAAACGAAGAAGACACGGTCCATGTTTTATTTAACGCCCTTGAGGTAGATACTCATTTTTTTTTTCAAAACCGATTCGACCGATTTTGTAAAATTTATAACTACTTTGCAACTAAAAGCCTGTCTCGCTATATCTATGCAATATTTGGAGCAATATAAGTACTAAGGAAACTGCAATGAAATTAATTTTCCTAAAATTCATAATCATCGCGACGTGACAGCCTCCAAGAGGCACTACTTCACTTTGCGCACGCCTGCCGGTCATTCAATTGTATGCGAGTCGGTGCAAAAATTCAAAACTGGAAATGCCGCATTTAACAACAATGAGTTGGTGGCGCTCACTTGGCTGCCTCATTGGGGCCTCATGCAGTATCATACGAGTATATACGAGTGCTGTTACGCGCAAACCAGCGAGGCAGCATCAAGACTTCCACACAGCGCGTAGGATTTGCTCATTTAATAGTTAAGTGCATGCAACAGTGATCATTTCGAACGCGTGACGGAATGAAAACCAAGTGAATTATAGCGGACGCAACAGCGCGCCGCATCATACATGCACATATTTACGCGCGGTTTATATGTGTATTTCTATGTTGCAGCAAGTGGCAACATAACGGAGGAATGTGCAACGGCGACTCAACAACGAGCAATTATAATTGTCACGCAATTGTCAAGCGAATGCGCCGGCGGCCAGGCAGTGAAGCTTAGCTTGTCTACACACCGTCAGTTGCTTGCCACACAAAGCAGCTGCTGCAGCTATGGCTGCTGTTGCTACATATTAGCTGTTGTTGCAAGCGCCAATTACGCTTAAATATGAAAAGAGTAACAAACACACATACAACAACTGCAACAGTATATAAGTATGTGCAATCATGTGGCTACAACAGATGTGCGCAGCTTATTCATTTGCCTCCTGCTATATTAATTCGTCTACTTTATGTGCGGCTACTCAATGTGTGCGTATGCAGACGATGCTATCGATGTGTGTATGCGCGTGTGTGCCGTTGCTGCATGTCACATTGTTAGCTGCGTGGCTGTTGGAAATCGTGCCTTTCCATGCGCTGCAACTAGTTAAGGCAATAAGCAACTTCTGAAGTTGCCTGCATCACATAATTGGTCGGCATTTGCGCGGCAACAATAAATTAAAATTAAAATTTTATGCTTTGAGTGGATATTCACGCGCTTATAAATTCAATGTGCGCTGTCATTAAAGTGAATACAATTTTATTTTATAGTTTCCTTTGCGTTGACTTTCGATATATATTTGCTTCAGATTTTTTTCGGAAAGTTTTTTGTGGGCGGCAACTTAAGAACGGCGCGTCGAGGGAACTGTAGGCGAGTTATTAAAATTTTCAAAGAAAAAATACTAATAATTAACTAATTAGTGAAAAAGTTGTTTCAGTTAATTTGGTACTTTCAATTAAAATTTGTTCGATAAAATTTTACAAAACTCATTAAAAAAAATTACGAAAAAATCATAAAAATGTTCTAGTTTTAAAATTTTTTATAAATTTTCATTTACATAATTAATTTAAAAATTTTAAAACTTGTGAAATTACAACAACGATAAAACTAGATTCAAGGAGGTCATTAAAAACCAACAGCTGAGAGCTGAGAAATGAATGACTAAATAAACCCGCAAAAAAAATTATAAACTATATTATGCATATTATTTTTAATTCAGAGATTTCGAAACATAACCACATACAATCTAAAACTTCCTTGCCATGATCAGAATACAGCTTTGTAACCAAATATGATACCTCCATGATCTTCATGACATAAATAATCGAAAAAGTGTGACTTTTTTGCAGATACTGATTGCAAATATACCAAAAACAAACATTGGTTGAAATAGAAATCAAACCCAAATTGCACGTACTAGATATATATGTAGGACTAGATATATAGGAGTTCAAGATATCTTCCTATAATTTTCTCAAATATGAGTTGATATTTTTCAGTTTTCGCCATTTATTACAGGTTGGAATTCAACAAAATGCGTTTTCTAGAATTTATATAATATAAAAAATATATTGCGAAAATGACCTTGAACTGAAATTTTAAACATTCATAACTTTGTTCCAGTTATTCCTGGAAATTAGTGCATGGAAATGAATAATATAATAAGTAAATTGGAGACGTTGCTCGATGAGGATCCGTGTCAAATGCAAGAAAAGCTTGCTGCAGCATTGGTAGTTACCCGCCAAGCCATTTTAAAGCGACTACATGTGAAAAGCGGCCTTAATACCAGGAGAGGCACACAAAAGTTTTTCTGTTGCATGACAACGCTAGGTCTCACGCTGGTAAACCCGTTAAAACCAACCTGGAAACGCTTAATTTCAGATATTGCACCGTCCGATTATTATTTGTTCCGTTCTATTAACATTATTATAATATTTTCAGAAGTATTATATAATCCCGACATAAATCCCGAAATTTCGGGATTATGCAAAACTAGACAAATAACTGCTTTTTGCATTAGCATCAAATGTTGACTTAAACTTTTGTTTGCCTAGATAAATCTCGAAATTTCGGGATTGCCATTACGCCACAATAAAAACTGTTCTAATTAATAAAACTCTCCACTCACAAGACGACATCGAAAAATTGCTTGATTCTTGGATAGCATCACAATATGAACAGTTTTACCGTAATGGTATTCGAGCTTTGCTAAAAAAATCGGAACAAGTTGGAACTAGCAAGACTTCGATTCAATAAAATTGCGTTTTCATTAAAAAACAGCGATAACTTAGTTGCGCACCTAATAATTAACTGAGGAGTATGCATACTGCAGTGAAACATCAAGTTACTCAAGTTATTTAATAATTTTCATCTGTAACCCAACTAGTAAGTAAAACATTGAACTTATGACAACTAAATTGAAAAGTGAATTTAGGAAAAAAGAAAGAAAAACAAGTAAGGAAGGGCTAAGTTCGGATGTAACCGAACATTTTATACTCTCGCAAAGTCAAATGGTATACTCGTTTGAGATTTCTTTGTGGATTGACTGATATTTTAAGGTCAACTATAGGCACTGGGGTCCACATATTCAGTACCTAGGGGCTTGAACAGTTTTGGTTCGATTTAGAGAATTTTTGGTCACAAGGTGGCATACTTTAAACGTATTATTCACGCAAAGTTTTACGCCGATATAATCATTGTTACTTGATTTGCATAGTGGAAAGTGAAAGAATCAAGTGGTATTTAAAATGGTGTCATATGGAAAATAGGCGTGGTTGTAATCCGATTTCGCCCATTTTCGCACTATGACATAGAAATATGAAAAGAACGTTACGCACCGAATTTGGTTGAAATCGGTTAAGCAGATCTCAAGATATGGGTTTTCACCTAAAAGTGGGCCGTGCCACGCCCACTGTCTAATTTTGAACGCGGTTCCTATAAATTAATCTTGTACCATCTCAGATATAAAATTTAATGTCTCTGCCGTGTTTAGTGCTTGATTTATCGCGCTTTTAGTAGTTTTTAACAGTAAAGTTATATGGGGAGTGGGCGGAGTTTCCACCCGATTTCAACTATTTTCACACCGTCAATAGAAGTGCTAAAAACATTTGCTTCTAGTGAATTTTGTTATTATAGCATTAGCGGTTTAGGAGATATGCACATTAAACCTATTAGAGGCGGGACCACGCCCACTTTTTACAAAAACTTTCTAACTGCAGATGCCCCTCCCTAATGTGATCCTGTGTACCAAATAACAGTCTTGTATCTTATTGCGGAGCTTAGTTATGGCAAGTTATTTGTTTTTGATTAATGGCGTTTTGTGGGCGTGGCAGTGGTCCGATTACGCCCATCTGCAATACGAACCGTCTCACGGTACCAAGAAACATGTCTACCAAGTTTCATAAAGATATCGCAATTTTTACTCAAGTTAGAGCTTGCACGGAAGGACGGACGGACAGACAGTCACCCGGATTTCAACTCGTCTCTTCATCCTGATCATTTATATATATATAACCCTATATCTAACTCGATTAGTTTTAGGTGATACAAACAACCGTTAGGTGAACAAAACTATTATACTCTGTAGCAACAGGTTGCGAGAGTATAATAATCCCGACGAATCAATAGCTTTTAAATAAATTCAGGATACATGCTAACCGAATTACAAATTTAAATATTTTCTAAAAATTTAACTTGAACTCGACAATTATGCATTTGTTTTAAACTGGTATATTCTGAACTGGTGTATGCCGATTTAGTGATTATTAGTTTGCGCGGAATTAACATGCAAAAAACACTAGCTGCTTGCGGAAAATTAAATTATTGACTGACGAGTTGAGCTTACATTACACACTAGTTGTAGTGTACTTTATAACCAGTTGCATTGACTAAATTGACTGTCAGCATTCATTTCCTCTCTTCATGCTCAAGTGGAGGAAAATTTGTAATTTCTCATCTGTCCGCCAAAAAAAAAACAAATTTTTTATTTTTGTTTCTGATTTTTGCTATTTTTTTACAATTTTCTTTTACTTCTATGATAACTAACAAAACATAGTCACAAAGAACGCACATGAAAATAGAAACGCCATCACTTTTAATAAAATTAAGGTCTAAATTACAACATCATTAAATGGAGTATCAATGTAAAGCAAAAAAGTTTCAATCATTTTCCGAACATTTCAGCGCATAAAGTATTTATTGAAGCATAAAATATGAAATATGAATATGAAATAACTCACATACTTTTTACTGCACAACTCTTATATGGTTTTAATTGCAATCATTTTCCCTAAATGGGATATAACCGCATTCTATAATTAATGATTTTAAAAGCCAATCAATAATTCAATGAGCAAAATTACAAAAAAAAAAAAAACTGTAGATTTATAAAATTGTAATATTTCGCGCTTAAAATTGTAATAAAAATATTATAAAAAGTAAATGTTTTACGATTTTCCTTTTGTTTTTGTTTTTCGTATTTTTTTTCTTGTTTTTGCTATTATATTTTCCACTTACCTTTCTTATATAATCGTGTGTTTGATTGTCTGTATTTTTGTTGGCAATCTCTCCAATTACGCACTTAATTGTACGCCTGTGTATGCGCGTGTATATATTTTAATGATTCTTAATTTGATCGGTTTAAACGTTATTTTTTTTGGCACTTTGCCTTGCCACAGCTGCACTTATCAAGTGGTTACGGGTTTTGGTTACTATTTTGACAGTTCTTGTTATTATTATGATTGCTTTTGTTATAAAGTTTATTACAGCATATTACTGTTGTTATTGTGTTTTTATTGTAGTTGTTGTTGCACTTATTTAATTTACATATGCGCCCATAATTGTCAACACGCATATTTGTTTTTGCAATACGCTTTTTTTATTGCAATGCTTTGCCGTGAACTTAAACTGCAAAGAGAGAGAAAGTAAGAGAAAAATGCGTTAAAGAATGCGTTTATGCCGATTTAATTGAAATCTTTTTTTAAATGCTATGTTTGTTAATTTCAATAAAAAAAAACAAGAAAAAACGTTAACTTCGGTTGCAACGAAGCCATAATACCCTTCACAAAAAAAAAAGTTGACATATAAGAACTTTATTTGGATCGGTCAGTTTGTACGGAAGCTATATGCTGTGGTTGTTCGATCCGAATAATTTGTTTAATTTTTATGACGAACAGACGAACATCGCTAAATCGATTTGGCTCGTCACGCTGATCTTTTATATACTTAAATATGCCATAAAGGGTCTTCGACTTTTTTTTCTGTGTGTTACAAACTTCGTGGAACCCAGTTCATGGTATAACACAAAGGAGAGAAGGAAAAGAGCAAAAAGCGTGAAATCGAAATGCTATATTTACTTTCACTGCACATGAAGCTCTGAAAAAACTTCTAGAAAGTTTAACAGATCTAGCATAGCTTTTCTATAGTGGCAAGAGAGGCCAATGTACGTCCAGTGAATAGGTATCATAACTGTAGAAGAAACACTTCCTCAAACGAATGAAAGCGTTGAAAGCTAAAACTATTTTCGATTTGTAAAGCCTTATAAAAACTCAAGTATCAAAAACTACAAAGAATTAATACGGTTATTTCCGGCGATGTGATTTTCTTAGCTAAAGTATTTTTCACACTAAGAGAGCTTACTTTTATGAATAAAAGGTTTCCCACCTGTAAGTAGCTGTTGATAGTTTATACCCCTGATTTGTTGAGAAGAGAAACTCGGTCAGCCAGATAAACTGAAACATGCTTCGAACCCACACATTTGCATTCATAATCTCAAATATATATAGGAATTTTTCTACTAATGAGCAACCAAACAGAATGAAATTGGGCTCAAGAAAGCAGCTTCGATTCAGTTTTGGCAGTAAAAGTTATTTGATAATGAGTTGTGAGCTGAAAATGAACCTTAAAAAAGTTATATTTACAAAAAAGTCAATAGCGGTTTTTTTATAATAATTTGTTGCTTATAAGTTCTCAATCAATTTATAACGCTGTTGTAGTTTTGATCCAATTCAATGGCTATATCTATAAAAATAAACGAGCCATTACAGTCACTCAGTTATCTCTGCCTTGAAACTGAACTCAAACAGTCCAAAAGATGTAATTCATCTTATGGTGACAGTGGATTGAGTACTCTGACACTCCCCACAAAAAATGGATCCATGAACGCGAAGCGAACTCGACTTTTATCTGTGCAGTGATTTTCATGCAAGCTGCATACGAAAAACTTTTTAAAGAATATTTGTTTCTGCTGCTTTTAAACTGGACAAAAATTAATACATACCGCAAACGATAATTTGAAAGAGTGAAAAGATTTCTCAGTTAGTCAGGTAAGAGGTGTAACTCAGAACAGCCAAACTATAGATCCCGAATTTGCATTGCAAAAAGCAAAAGCAAACGTCGTTGGACTTGAGAGACATGATATTGAAAGTTTAGTTTTGCAGTTTGCTATAATATTTGGGTATAACTATACTTTTCACTCTCAAGCCGTTGACACATTATCTTACGAAGTTGCTTGTTAGATGCGCTGAGCTCTCACAAGTGTCAGTAGATCAGATATGCTAGCAGTACTCAAATTCTTGTGATTGTATAGAGAAGAGTGGATTGGGAGATTAAAAACGGGACCTGTTCTCACATCATCTGTTCTGTCTGCAGTGTGGTGGACCTGGAGTTTGAAGCTGGAGCAGCACTCTTCGAAATTTTTCTAAATATTTTTTTAAGCTTCAACCAAAATTGGGTGGCCACTCAAATTTACTTATATACCAAAAAATTAAAGTCTTTTTCATTTCGATTTAAAATTTTAAGCGTTTTCGATTAATATTTTCTGTAGAAATGGTTTCACTTTGCCTTCGTTTACAATTTCACAGTTCATGAGACATTCTTGTTCTCACAACTCCGTGCAGTTAAAATATATGCGACGCATTAAATTGGACGCAAAAAATTTTTCTAATAAATTTTCACTTTCGATACAACAAAAGCCTAACCTAACTTTTAACCTTACTCAAGTGTATATGGATTATATACGCATGCATCGGTATGTATTTTGTGAGTCCCTTATACAATTCTATTCCGTGCAATTTAACTTTTGAATGCTTTAAACTTACACTTTCGTTTATTTACTTACCTTTTGCTAAATCCTTTGCAAAGTTATTAAAGTTAGCCAAAGTACCTAAAAGTAGACGATAAATGAAAAGCACTTTTCAGCTCGTAATACTGTTGTTGTTGTTTCGGTGACATATTTTTGTCGGTTTTGTTCTTTTTTTTTGTTTTTTTGCTTTTCCATTTTGTTTCATACGCTGTGGCAGCATCGATAAATGAAAGTACACTGCGCTCTCGTTACTAGCAATTCCAACTTTTGCGGTTTACTTTTGTAGCATATTTAAAGGCGCATAGCGACCGCAACCATATTGTTGGCGTTGACACAAAAAAGTCGATAATTATTTGGGTCAGCGATGGGTGGTGGCGGTGTCGTTTAACTGCCACTTTTTTATACATTGTTTTTTGTTGTTGCTTTAGTGTTTTTCTGGCTTGCGGTTAGCTTGGGAATTGCAATATGCGCTATCAAACCGGCGCCAATATGCTTAAGAGGTGAATATAATCGAGCAAAGTCGCATTTGACCTTTGACATAGCAACAATTTGAGTGAATGACTGACTAAGTGAGTGCCCCAGTGAGTTAAGAAGAGTGCGTCGTCAGTGAGTGAGTTGCACACAGCGGAGAGGCAAGTGAATGATTGAACGAGTGAATTTGACATTTTTGCGTTGACCCATATATACCGAGTCAACTGGGTGTGGAGCCCGACGCACAAGCATGCAAATGGAGCAATTGAAAGCTTGACGGGTCGTCGTGGCCCAACCCAACGTTCCACTTGGATGGCACTGTAGTGAACTGTGTTGAACTTAATTTTTTGTCCACAACACAGGCTGTGTGTGCGTGTGTGTGTGTGAGTGCAATTTGTAAGTAACCGCATTCGCAATAACAACAAGCTGTTAAGTAAATATATGTATATTGCGAGAGTAAGTATGTATGTATGTAAGGAGACATATCTGCCGTTTGAGAATGTGCAACGTTGTAAACGACGTTGTTGTGTTGCGGTTGTGGCGCAAGCAACATGAACAGCAGCAACAGCGGCGGCAAATAAGTGCCGTTTCAGACAGGGACGCAAAAGAGTCTCATACCAGTTTATTGTGGGCGAGGGGACGACGAGGAAAGACGAAGGGACCGTGCCACTCGTGTTCGGGTGGCACGCTTTGTGTTCTTTTTCGTAACAGCTCGCTGCTACCCTTTTCAGCATTCCTTTTCACTTTCAAATCCTTTGAATGGTTGCAAGAGCGCTCGGTTTCAAATGAATTCGATCGCAATGAATTCGATCGCATGAGTTCTGTTATCTATTTTTGTATGTAATATGCAAATACGTATGCATAGAATAATAGAAATATTATGACAAATTGTAAATAAGGAGAAAATTAAGATATAGATTATGGAGTAAAGAAATTATGAGTTTTTAATACTTAAAGATTAGGAAATTCCTATTATAAATTTGGCCTTGAAAATATTAGTTGCGGATATTCAATACATTCTTGTGGATTAGGGAATTCCCGTCTTTAGTATTTTTTTGAAACTATTTAGCGGGTAGGTACTTGTATTATGCATATTGTTCTACCATATTCATGGTAATTCATTGCAAGCAAAATGTCTCAACATACAAATGAAATACGCAGCACGCAGTGTTGCGCAGTCGAACCGCACAAATATTTACGAACATTTTGTGAAAAGGAATGCAGAAAAACTAGACTCGAGTTGCTGGACTCTTTTTGGCCGTGTGAATGCCCAGAGCGACACCAAAAGAAAATTTGAAAAAGATCAGACTCTTTTGCATCCCTGTCTGAAACGGCACTAACAAGACAAGACAACAAATGTGTCACTAACAGCAGTGCAGGACGCAGTGTCACGCTAAAAGCAACAACAACAACAAAAATAACAACAACAATAAAAACCAAACAACTAACAGCAATAGCAGTTAATTTAAAAGCAACAAAACTCAATAATAACAGAAACAACAATCATCCCAACAACAACAGCAACAATTACTAGCAACAATAGCAGTCACTTTATAGGCAACAAAGTTCAACAATAACAATAACATTGTGGCAAAAAGCTTAACCAAGCAAACAAGCAACGCTTTGAGGCAAGTGGCAAGCATGTCTGACTGCATACACACACATACTTACATAAATATCTTCATATAAACATATATAAAGTTAATGTTGCAAGTGTCGCGCTTAAATACGCATTTATGCATGCGCGCAGCCGTCACCGTTTAAATGGCGAGCAAATAGCGGAACCATAAAAAAATCAACACACATACATACATATGTATATATGCAATTTGAAGCGCTTCTGCATGAAAAAAGCAATGCGGCAGCATGCCAACGCTCCTTGTGGCAACATTAGAAATAAAATGAACATGCAACGTTAGGCGCAGTGGCGTGGCAAGCGCGCCGTTGACGCGTCGTTATGCCCGACGCAATGGGCAACAGCTAACGGCAGTGTAGAAAACCGCAACGCCTCATGCGGTTGCGGCTGTGGCGAGTGACGGGTGTTTAACGATGCTCAAGCACGCACACAGACACATCCAAACATATTTATATGTGTATTATTTTCATGTATTGCTGTTGCTGTTGCCGCTGTTGGCATTGTCACGTCACATCAACTGGCGTCTGCTAATGCATATGCGACTTCGTAGCGCTCGCGTGTGTGAGTGTGCTTGTGTGAGTATGCTTGTGTATGTGAGCGTGTACGTGTGACGAAAAGCGCGAAAAGCATTGACCGCTACACCCGCCAACACGACACATTCCATTGCGACAAATGTGCGGCAGTAAATTCACACACTTAAAGGCGTCACACACACAT